AGTTTTCCATGGATATCACTAGCAGCACTTAGTTTCAGGCTTTTGAAGTTTGTCTTATGCAGGTCATAAAGTACTTTGAAATGTTTCCTTATAGATAGCCATCAGTTTACACATCACAGTATAAAAGTCGAATGATCTTGGGTCAAATTCCAGCTCTGTGCTAACCTGCTTTATGAAACCACAAGTCAATGGCTCTTTCATTTGTTTTTTGTTCAGTATCCCTAGCACTGAGCTACATCAGCTCAGAAACCTACATATAATGTTAGGACCAATTACTGGTTACCATTTTGTTCTCTCAAAGGAATTCATATTGCCTTATCACCTTGATAACAATAGAGTAGTCATCTTCAGCACTGAAGGAATGTAGATATAGTTTCTCAGCATAAAATATGAGCATGCATAAGGAGACAGCAGAAGTATCAGACAAGAAGTGGCAAGGGAAACTGTATTAAATATGTATAAGAAACTATGTCAGTTGGAAGACCTGCCTTGAAACACTAGAAAAAAAAGCACTGTGTACTAAATTACTTTCAAAGCAGTTGTCACTTACAAACGATGACAATTAACGATGCTCTGGGCACCATCACTGAAGAACACTTTTTTTTTAATGGATCAAGCTAAAATGAAACACAGAGTATGAAAATTCACTTACAGGTGCAATGTTGGAATACAAGAACACGTATAGCACTGGCTAACACTGGTTCCTAACGCCAGAAAAAAATTAATTAGGTCTCTATTGAAGACTTGGAGTCTTATTAGAATCAGTTTCAATATATGATTTCTTTTCGAACAATACAATTAAAACTATACAGCTGTGGGATACATAGAAATGTCAAGAATCACAGATTTTTAAGTTTTGTTTCTGATTTTGACACTAATACCTAAAGTGCCATTTAACAATTTGTTAAATAAGTTACTGATTACAGATGTGATGCTTCCAAAAGCAACTGCAAATGTTTTGAGTATTTGCACAATTATTTTGCGAAGTTCACCATGCTGTCAGATACTAAGTTTTGGGTTTATTACTGTATGGTGCTTCAGAATGTCTGATCTCCTCTAATTTAAATCTGCAATTTATGGAAGCTAATACTAGGAGATATTCCCACACTCACTACTCATTTTCTACCGGCAGTTGAAGAGTAAAATTGCCTCGCTTGGGAGCACACTCAGACCTGCAGTGCACCTTAATGGTCCATCTTCATTATGTGCTATAGTAAAATACTGTACTTTGGTAAGAAAACAAACAGCAGTATCACTAAGATTACAGGTTTTTCAACAGCTAGAAGGATAACTATTTAGATTATTTTCTGGTTTTAATGATACTAGTTTTCAATAGCCAGGAGCAAAAAAAACAGGTGAGAGTCGGCTGTCCCAATTTTCACTTTACCTGCACTTAGTTGCAAATTTGACTACTTTCCCACTCTTTTGCCTGTTTTACTTTCTAGTATTTCATGGTATAGTGAAGTAATAGCTCATAAGCTTTCTTCTAGAATTCAGATGAAGTATTCTGACATCAACAAATAGGAATCCAAAGTTGCATTTCATATGAGAGGAGGCCTGAGGCTGCAATTTATGCACTTACAAAGATGGATTTCATAACAAAACCAACATGCTATTGTTCTTTGGAAAACCTCTTTCCCATTTGAGTGTTTGGCACCCAGATATGAGAGCCAGCTTCACTTACTCAGCTGGATTGACAGGCTCGACTGGAAAGAGGCACTAAGACTTCTAAGCACGCATTGTACAACTTCCATACTACAGTAAGTTCAGCTACTGCTGGTCTTCCTTGGAGAACTATTGAGAGGACTTTCTTTCCTGGAGATCTCCTGGGAGATCTATCACGACACGCCTTTCATCTGAAGTGCCATCTGCTGAGTGTGCAGGCAGCTAGGCTCTTCTCACCCTGTATATTTGGTTCAGAGATTATCTCCAGAATAATTCTTTATGTTGCCAGCCCAAACATCAGAAAAAACCATGCCACCCGAGATTAGCCACACTCGATGAGAAGTTTTTTGCAAGGATAACAGCACGTGTAAGGGTAATATCCGAATGAAAGTCTGCATTAATTCTGAAGACAACCTCTTACAATACCTACGTAAAGAAGAAGGCTTCCCCAGCCACTTGAAGAAATGCTAAGTTAATGGAGTCTAGAGAGAAAAAAGAGCAGTACAGTGATTTTGACAGGAGAGTCAAGCTACCCACTTTTTCCTTGTCTTATAATTGTGGTTTGGCCAAAGACTCATCTGGCTCTATTATCTCTTTGAATGAGAAGGCTGGAGGAATAGAAAAATCCTCAGGGAGCCCCAAGCTACTTCCTTCTCCAACTGATTTATTTCCTCTAATCATCCTAAGTGGAATTCTCTTTTTCTGT